CTTGTTCCATAACTTCGTGGATTGCAGTTCGATCAATATCGGACATCTAAATAAGAAAATGTACCCTATAGTTTTTACAGCAGTGATCTTGAACTGTTCACATAATTCTGGCCTTACTAGTGTTTCGATCACAGTAAGGTTATCGTTATGCGATATTATCTGCGAAGTCTACCAATGGATTTAATCACTGAGATTAATCCCACCAAACGCAGTACTTCGATCCCTTCGATTCGAACAAGTTAAAATGCTATACCTTATCAAACTCATCAATGCACACTACTCCTCTGTCGGCTAAGACCATGGCACCAGCTTCAAGTCTCCTCTCTCCAGAGTCGGGATCTGTGGTGACGGCAGCAGTCAGACCAACACCAGAGGATCCACGACCGGTGGTTGCAACAGCTCGTGCTGCAGTTTGCAGCACATATCTAAAATAGCTCATAAATCTATCCTACTTACAGCCACGCGTATTAGAAGCCAACCTTAACAGCTGCGATTTCGCAACAGAAGGATCTCCAATCAGCAGAACGTTAATGTCCCCTCGAAGACGACTTCCGTTGTCGAGAATCTTTTCGCATCCACCGAGCAGCAAACAAAGAATTGCCTTTTTTACTTCATCGTGTCCGCAAATCGAAGGAGCAAGAGAATGGGAAATGAGTTCAAAGACCTAAAATTTGCATTTTCGCTTCAAAGACTCAGGATGTCACTAAAGTACCTACATCCTTTTTCCTGCTAAGCTTGCGAATATTTCTGACATCTTCGGGGTCGAAGTCCAAGGTGGTTTCTTTAGACAACAACTGAATATTGTTGGAGATGACAATGGATCTAAAACTCAAAGGTTCGAATGGATAAAATCATGAACAACGAAAAGGTAGAATTCTACTGGCTTTCTTTTGCCTCTTGCTGAAAACACAATGAATTCAGACGCTTACCTGAACGATCCATTTGAATACCCATTTTGCTTGTTGGGTAGAACGCGATACAATCCAATAACACGCACTCGATCTCCGGGGTTTACAAGGTCTGCCAAATCGTTGTCCGCAATTACGTCCACCGAGCGGGGAAGCTGGCCAGCTGGAGCGCACTCGGGTAATTCCTGAAATTTATCAGGCTGAAACTCAGATCTCTCATGATTCACTCAAGATAGATAGGTTTGGATGCCAAAAAAAAACTTTTTTTGATTTCAGATATTTTGCTGAATTGGGCACATTTCGTAAGAACAAAGGTGCAGTTTAGATGCCAGCAAGAATAAATTATGAATACTATTGTGGTTTTGTGGAAAACTATTTTCAAATCTTCAAAGCATTTCGATATTTGTCTGTATCTTAGTACTTTCCAGAAAGTTGTTGTACAGCAGCGGTAAAGTCGAAATCTTGAAAGAAACACACCTGTACAGAGAACGACTGATGATCCTTGTAAGTACTCAAGCCAAATTCAGTCTCCAGAGGGTTCTTATTCTCATCCTAAAAAAAGTTTTCTTTCAGACAAATGGAACTCAAGCTCCATATTTCAATTAGCTCACCTCTGTTGGGTAAACATTGCTGCTTGGGAAAGACTCGTAAGAGGTTAGATCAGTGTAACGTTTTTCTAGGGTTTTCTTGGTTGCTGGACAGTAGTGGACACTTTTTACAACCTTGGGACGGACCAAGGAACCTGGAAAAAGCAACGATGATTAAACAACTAAAATTTTCTTCAGAATTATTGAAATCAATCAAACAAGCTATTTAATGTTACTGTTTTGCTTGTTTTT